CAGCAACGCCTGCCAGGGGACCGCTAGTGTATTTTTTAAAAAAACACAGTTTGAAAACTTTGCATTATACTAAATGTCCTTTGACCAGTAGCTGGCCACTTGGGGGTGCCTCTGGTGTTGCTGTAAGAAGATCCTCCATTGAGCATGTGCCAGGGCCCAGGTTGCATTGTAGTAGGTGGTCTGTGGCTTGTTTTTCTCCGCACTTGAATGTGATGGGCTCTACTTTGTGGTCACATTCCTTAAGGTTGGCTCTGCATCTCGTGGTGCCAGAGCAGAGTCTGTTCAGCACCTTCCAAGTTGTCCAATCTCCGTGCCCAGGGGGGAGTCTCTCGATCAGTCTCAGCCATGGCTTGAGGTTCCAGCCTGCCACTTTTGGACTCTTGCATGCTGAGGTGTTCCTGCGACTATCTCTGTAGTATCTCTGGTGCCCAGAATTGTGTCCAATTCTGGGCACCACAACTAAAGAAACATATTGACAAGCTGGAATGTGTCCAGAGGAGGGCGACTAAAATGATCAAGGGTCTGGAGAACGAGCCCCATGAGGAGCAGCTTAAAGAGCTGGGCATTTTTAGCCTGAAGAAAAGAAGGCTGAGAGGAGACATGATGAGGCCATGGATAAATGCTTCTCTGGAGACTAGGATGCGAAACAATGGCTTCAAACTAAAAGAAAGGAGATTCCATCTGAACATGAGGAAGAACTTCCTGACTGTGAGAGCCGTTCAGCAGTGGAACTCTCTGCCCCGGAGTGTGGTGGAGGCTCCTTCTTTGGAGGCTTTTAAACAGAGGTTGGATGGCCATCTGTCAGGAGTGCTTTGAATGCAATTTTCCTGCTTCTTGGCAGAATGGAATTGGACTGGATGGCCCAGGACGTCTCTCCCAACTCTATGATTCTATTATTTTAAGAACTTCCTGACTGTGAAAGCCATTCAGCAGTGGAACTCTCTGCCCTGGAGTGTGGTTGATGCTCCTTCTTTGGAAGCTTTTAAACAGAGGTTGGATGGCCATCTGCCAGGCATGCTTTGAATGCAATATTCCTGCTTCTTGGCAGAATAGGGTTGGACTAGATGGCCCACGAGGTCTCTTCCAAGTCTAGGATTCTATGATAGCCATCCTCAGAGGTTGAGGGGATGAGGATGCCTGCCACAGATGTGGACAAAACATCAGGAGAGAATGCTTCTGGAACATGGCCATACAGCCCGGAAAACTCACAGCAACCCAGTGATATCCACGAAAGCCTTTGACAACAAACCTCACAAACTCTGAGGATGCCTGCCACAGATGTGGGCAAAACGTCAGGAGAGAATGCTTCTGGAACATGGCCATACAGCCCGGAAAACTCACAGCAACCCAGTGATATCCACGAAAGCCTTTGACAACAGACCTCACAACCTCTGAGGATGCCTGCCACAGATGTGGGCGAAACGTCAGGAGAGAATGCTTCTGGAACATGGCCATACAGCCCGGAAAACTCACAGCAACCCAGTGATTCCAGCCATTAAAGCCTTCGACAACACATTACTTATTCAATGTTGCCTAGGAGAGCATCCTCGTTGACTTGGAGATAAAAGAGCAACAGCCACAAATTTTTCATCGCTATCATCTTCGTCCTAATAAAATATTTTCATCCTGCTGTTTGTCAGAATGATTTAGAGAGGCCCATACAGTTCCTCCCACGTTTGGTTATCCTCACCACACTTTTTCTAGATGACAGCAACTCTCCTGCCATAGGGAAACTGAGCAAGGGAAAATATCCCCAAAATATTTCCTTGCGCACTTTTGTTGCAGGATTTGTTGTTACGTAAGATGCTTCGCTCGCTCATAAACAGCTTATCATGTAACAGATTTTGCTTTTAACGGTGAGATTGTTCAAGCTTCTTTGTTTCTTGACCCCATTCAACTTACAGAAGCCTGAAAAAGGAGGGTCGGGCGGTCAAAAGTCTGCTCTAGCTCCAGCAGTTGCCACTTTGGTCAAAGTAACTACCGTATATACTCGAGTATAAGCCGACCCTAATGTAAGCCGAGGAATCTCATTTTACCACAAAAAACTGGGAAAACGGATTGACTCGAGTATAAACCGAGGGTGGGAAATACATCAGCTATTGGTCAGTTTCAAAATATAAAAAGATACCAATACAATTACATTAATTGAGGCATTAGAAGGTTAAATGTTTTGGAATATTTACATAAAAAGTGTAATTTAAGATACGACTAAACCATTATTCTAACCTTCTTCAATGGAAATGTGCTTATGTATCCTTCCAATAATGATAAAGAGAGTGAAAAATATATGTAATAATAATAAAGTAAAATAATGATTGTAATAAGAGTAAAATGATAAATGTAATAATAAGAATAATAAAGTAAAATAATAAATGTAATAATAAGAAGAGTAAAATGATAAATGTAATAAGAATAATGAAATAATAAATGTAATAATAAGAGTAAAATGATAAATGTAATAATAAGAATAATAAAGTAAAATAATAATTGTAATAATAATAAGAGTAAAATGATAAATGTAATAATAAGAACAATATTATTGTTGGATGGGGCGCACTCCCCCTGAAGACGCAGGTTCGCAGCTTGGGTGTGACCCTGGACTCATCGCTGAGCCTGGAACCCCAGGTTTCGGCGGTGACCAGGGGAGCATTTGCACAGCTAAAGCTTGTGCGCCAGCTGCGCTCGTACCTTGGGAAGTCTGACTTGGCCACGGTAGTCCACGCTCTGGTTACATCCCGTTTAGACTACTGCAACGCTCTCTACGTGGGGTTGCCTTTGAAGACAGCTCGGAAGCTCCAACTAGTCCAACGCTCAGCAGCCATGATTTTAACAGGAGCGGAGCGCAGGGAGCATACAACCCCCCTGTTGCGCCAACTCCACTGGCTACCGATCTGCTACCGGGCTGAATTCAAAGTGCTGGTTGGCCTTTAAAGCCCTAAACGGTTCCGGCCCAAGCTACCTATCCAACCGCATCTCTGCCTATGAACCCACCAGGACTTTGAGATCTTCCGGGGAGGCCCTGCTCTCGATCCCGCCTGCTTCTCAAGCACGGCTGGCGGGGACGAGAGATAGGGCCTTCTCGGTGGTGGCTCCTCGGCTGTGGAACGCCCTTCCTACGGACATTAGACTAACACCATCTCTAATGGTATTCCGCAAAAAAGTGAAGACCTGGCTGTTTGAGCAGGCGTTCCAATAATTAGTGCAATGATTGGTTAATGAACACTGGAATGGAACAATGGATGACGAATCTGGAACATGTTTTTGATGACGAGACGACAGTGAATGGGTATTGTAGTAACTGTTTATTAATTGTGTAATGTGTTAGGTTGTTAACTGTTTCTATACTGTAGCACTGAATTTTTGCTGTTCATATTTGTTGTGAACCGCTGTGAGTCGCCTTCGGGCTGAGAACAGCGGTATATAAGTAAGGTAAATAATAATAATAATAATAATAATAATAATAATAATAATAATAATAATAAATAAATGTAATAATAACAATAATAAAGTAAAATAGTAAATATAATAATAAGAGTAAAATGATAAATGTAATAACAACAACAACAATAGAATTCAATAATAAATAATCTTGACTCAAGTATAAGCCGAGAGGGACTTTTTCAGCCTAAAAAAGGGGCTGAAAATCTAGGCTTATACTCGAGTATATACAGTACTTCCCATGAAGCTGTTATTTCAACATGGTTTATCTGTCTTTATGCTTACACAACAGAGGTTGCTAAAAAATAAGAGAAATCACTACAATTTGGAGGAAGTTACATGTCTACCCACCTTATTTTTATAATTTTAAATACCGTAAATTCTCGAGGATAAGTCGAAATTTTCAGCCCCTTTTTAAGACCGAAAAAGTCTCCCTCAACTTATACTCGAGTCAAGATTATTTATTATTGAATTCTATTGTTGTTGTTGTTATTACATTTATCATTTTATCTAGCCGTCCCCTGCCACGTGTTGCTGTGGCCCACATGGGGGTTCTGTGTGGGAGGTTTGGCCCAATTCTATCGTTGGTGGGGTTCAGAATGCTCTGTGATTGTAAGTGAACTATAAATCCCAGCAACTACAACTCCCAAATGTCAAGATTCTATTTTCCCCAAACTCTACCAGTGTTCACATTTGGACATATTGAGTTTTCATGCCAAGTTTGGCCCAGATCCATCATTGTTTGAGTCCACAGTGCTCTCTGGATGTAGGTGAACTACAACTGTCGGCCATCACCACCCCCAGCTCCTTCAAGGCCAAGCCAGTTACTTCAAGGATGCCATCCATCCGTCTTGCCCTGGGTCGGCCCCTCTTCCTTTTTCCTTCCATTTTCCCAAGCATCATTGTCTTCTCCAGGTGACCTCAGGGACCAGCCCACGCCAGATCTCCCTGTCGGCTGTCACCACCCCCAGCTCCTTCAAGGTCAAGTCCAGTCACTTCAAGGATGCCATCCATCCATCTTGCCCTTGGTCGGCCCCTCTTCCTTTTTCCTTCCATTTTCCCCAGCATCATTGTCTTCTCCAGGTGACCTCAGGGACCAGCCCACGCCAGAGCTCCCTGTCGGCTGTCACCACCCCCAGCCCCTTCAAGGTCAAGCCAGTTACTTCAAGGATGCCATCCATCCATCTTGCCCTGGGTCGGCCCCTCTTCCTTTTTCCTTCCTTTTTCCCCAGCATCACTGTCTTCTCTAAGCTTTCATTTCTTCTGATGATGTGGCCAAAGGACTTCATCTTTGTCTCTACTATCCTTCTCTCCAATGAGCAGTCTGGCTTTATTTCCTGAAGTATGGACTGGTTGGATCTTCTCGCAGTCCAAGGCACTCTCAGAACTTTCCTCCAGCACCACAGTTCAAAAGCACACACATATATATAAGAGGGTTCTTCATGATATATTTTATATTTTACGTGTTGTTATCTATTTTGCATCGTCTCGGGGACCATATTGGATCAAGTGGCGATAAACGCTCTAAATAAATAATTCAAGCCCTTCTTAAGAAAGGAAGAGAAGGTCCAAACAAAGAGTTTTATTCACCTTAAAATGACAGACATTACTGTTTCCTTTGTCCTCAGCACTCCCCTAGAAAACAAAATAAACCTGATGGGATTTACTTACATCTTGTCTGCAGAAGATACAGTCTATCTTTCTCTCTCTTTATGATTTTTAAAAAAGTATTTTCAAGTTTCAGAGTCCATTGGGCCTTATGCCTCTTCATCTTCGTCTTCTTCATCGCTGATGACATACTTCTTATGCTTCTTGCTGGCCTTGTCATCATCCTCTGCTTTCCTTTTCCCCGAAGGCTCCCCTTCCTGCAAGGATGGAGAAGGTTTTTTAGAAGTCAATTTGAGGATGGGAAAGAGACCTTCCAATTCTAAATATTAAAACATATACGTACTCACTCACACACTCCAAAACAAGGATTGTGTAGAATATAAATAAAGTGTTGTTGTTGTGGTTGTATTATTATTATTATTATTATTATTATTATTATTATTAGAATACAGTTCCAAACTCTGTCCAACTTTAAGAAAGTTAACACTGCGTTTCTCAACCTGGGGGTCGGGGCCCTTGGGGGGGTGTGTGAGAGGGGTCGGCTAAGACCATCAGAAAACACGGTATGGGGGTTCTGTGTCATCGTTGGTGGGGTTCAGAATGCTCTTTGACTGTAGGTGAACTATAAATCCTAGCAATTACAACTCCCAATGGGAGGCTCACGAAAGTGGGTGCCTTCAAGGCATGGGGGTTCTATGTGGGAAGTTTGGCCAAGTTCTATCATTGGTGGGATTCGGAATGCTCTTTGATTGTATATGAACTATAAATCCCAACAACTACAAATGTCTCCCAAATGTCAAAGTCTATTTTCCCCAAACTCCACCAGCGTTCACATTTGGGCATACTGAGTATTTGTGCCAAATTTGCTCCAGATTTGTCATTGTTTGAGTCCACAGTGCTCTTTGGATGTAGGTGAACTACAACTCCAAAACTCAAGGTCAATGCCCTCCAAACCCTTCCAGTATTTTCTGTTGGTCATGGGAGTTCTGTGTACCAAGATTGGTTAAATTGCATCGTTGGTGGAGTTCAGAATGCTCTTTGATTGTAGCTGAACTATAAATCCCGGCAACTACAACTCCCAAATTGTCAAGGTCTATTTTTGCCAAACTCCACCAATATTCACATTTGGACATTTTGAGTATTTGTGCCAAGTTTGGTCCAGATCCATCATTGTTTGAGTCCACAGTGCTCTCTGGATGTTGATGAACTACAACTCCAAAACTCAAGATCAATGCCCACCAACCCCTTCCAGTATTTTCTGTTCGTCATGAGAGTTCTGTGCACCAATATTGGTTCAATTCAATTGTTGGTGGGGTTCAGAATGCTCTTTGATTGTAGCTGAACTATAAATCCCGGCAACTACAACTCCCAAATGGCAAAATCAATCCCCTCCCCAACCCTACCAGTATTCAAATTTGGGTGTATGCAGGATCTCCAGCTAAAGTATCTCAGCAGGCAGGTGTTCAGGGTGGTTTTGATGATATCTAAAGATATTTGCAAGCAAGTCAAGAAGTTCTTTGTAACCTCCAATTGAAATCCACCACTCCAATAATTGAGAACATCAACCTATCTTCTGGGACAAGAAGAGAAGAAACCTACACCTCCCAGTGACAGTGCCTTAGATCTTTATGTCAGTGTTTCAAGGTGCAAAACAAAGCACTACCTAGGATTCATACCTCCCAGTGAAGGTTCATTACACAAGCAATTCATGCTATTAACAAATCAAAGCTTTTCTGCAAATGAAAGACTAAGAGAAAGTCCTTGAAAATTCTCAAAGTCAACCTCGGAGTGAAACACATCCTTTAAAGAGGCTGGCGATGTTTGCAACAGAGTTGTCACAAACGCTTCCCTCTCATCCTGCAACAGAATCTCATTAGATTTCCGCAGATGGAAAATCCCTTGCTAATGAATCCAATTATTTGATTACCACATATACTCAAGTATAAGCCCAATTTTTCAGCCCTTTTTTGGGGTGAAAAAGCCCCCCTCGGCTTATACATGAGTCAAAGTTATTTATTATTTTACTCTGTTGTTGTTGTTGTTGTTGTTGTTGTTGTTATTATTACATTTATCATTTTACTGGGGCATGTCTGATGTCCCTGGGAAGTGAGTTCTAGAGTCGAGGGGCCACCACTGAGAAGGCCCTCTCCCTCATCCCCACCAATCATGTCTGTGATACAGGTGGGAGCGCGAGCAGGGCCTCTCCAGATGATCGAAGAGATCGTGTGGGTTCGTACACAGAAATGGGGTCATGCAGGTAGGCGGGTCCCAAACCATTCACGGCTTTGTAGGTAAGAACCAGCACCTTGAATTGGGTCCGGAAAATGAATGGCAGCCAGTGGAGCTCCTTGAACAGGAAGGTTGACTGCTCCCTGTAAGGAGCACCAGTTAGTAACCTGGCTGCCGCCCGTTGTACCAATTGAAATTCCAGGCTGTTTTCAAGGGCAGCTCCACGTAGAGTGCATTACAGTAGTCCAATCTGGAGGTGACTAAGGCATGGACCACCCTGGCCAGATCTGCCTTCATGAGGTACGATCACAGCTGGCGCACGAGTCTTAATTGTGCAAAGGCCCTTACAGCCACCACCACCGCCTGAGCTTCAAGCGTAAGTGATGAGTCCAGGAGGACACCCAGGCTACAGAACTGTGACTTCAAGGGAAGTGCAACCACGTCCAGCACAGATTGCCACCCTATACCCCGATCCGGCTTACAATAGACTAGAAGGACCTCTGTCTTGTCGGAATTGATCTTCAGCTTGTTCTTCCTCATCCAGACAGCCACAGCGGCCAGGCTTAACTACTTATGGGTCACTCAGAAACCGAAATAAATGAAAGGTTGCAATGTCTGACTGTTGTCAGGATTTCACGTTGTTTCCTCCCTCTCCCAATTCAAACCTGAATGTCCAAATTCTTGTTTCAAAGGGTTTCCATATTTCTGGAAACTCTATAACTCAAAATGTTGTCATTCTATACAACTGATACTTTTGTTTTCCAAAGTTTGCATTGTTTTATTTTATGGAAAGTAGCAGCTGATACATAGTTAAAATGTGACTCAAGGGAAAAGCATGCCTGGGCTCCTGATGATGTGTGGGAGATGCCAAGAGGTTAGGCTCCTCTCTCTGGCTTTGATGCTCAAGTGCCCCCTTGTGTTGAACTTCAGCAAGAGCAATTGTTATTGAAATCAAAGACCAAAAAAAAAAAAAATCCCTCCAAAGCAGTGTTTCCCAACCTTCCCAATGCCGGGACCCCTTAATACAGTTTCTCATGTTGTGGTGATCCACAACCATAAAATTATTTTCGTTGCAACTTCACATCTGCAATTTTGCTACAGTTATGAATCATCATGTAAATATATGATATGCAGGGTGTATTTTCATTCACTGGAGCAAATTTGGCACAAATACCCAATACGCCCAAATGTGAATACTGGAGTAGTTGGGGGGATTGGTTTTGTCATTTGGGAGTTGTAGTTGATGGGATTTATAGTTCACCTACAATCAAAGAGCATTCTGGACTCCACCAACGATGGAATTTAACCAATCTTGGGACATAGAACTCCCACAACCAACAGAAAAATCTGGAAGGGTTTGGTGGGCATTGACCTTGACTTTTGGAGTTGTAGTTCAGTTACATCCAGACTCAGACAATGATGCCTCTGGACCAAACTTGGCACAAATACTCAATATGCCCAAATGTGAACGCTGGTGGAGTTTAAGGAAAGTAGACCTTGCCATTTGGGAGTTGTAGTTGCTGGGATTTATAGTTCACCTACCATCAAAGAGCATTCTGAACTCCACCAATGATAGAATTGGGCCAAACTTCCCACACAGAAACCCTCATGCCTTGAAGAGACTTGCTGGCATGAGCCTTCCTCCAGCCTTGCACGCTCTCCCTCGCCCACAAATGTGCACCACACTGCCAAGCATGCCTGTTCTCTCTCCCCCCCCCCCCCTCAACTTGGGAGTCTCAGAAGTAGCCCTCCCCAGGAAGGACTGGCAGAGAGATCATCTGCTTTCACTGCCAAAGGAGTTCTTAAGACCATCAGAAATATCTGTTTTCTGATGGTCTTTGGCGACCCCTCTGAAACCTCCTTGTGAACCCCCCCCCCCCCCAAGGGGTCCTGACCCTCAGATTGAGAACCGCGGCTCCAAAGTAGGGCTGATCCCTTAACTGTTTTTCGTCAACACAGATCTGAAAATATCAAGGAGGGTGGAAATAATTCATAGGCTCAGCTCCTCTGATCACCAACTCGCTCTCCTTTACCATTTTTGAAATCCTCTCTCAACAAAATCAGATTTCCCCTTGGGCTTACTGCATACCGATCAATCTGGAAAAATTGACCAAACACCTACCATCAGCCCTCCGCTTTCGTAAGACTTAGGGGCACAGAATCCCCATGGAAGTAGAAAAATACTAATAAAATCTCCCCACAATGGGTTGTTGCAGGTTTTTCCGGGCTCTATGGCCATGTTCTAGAGGCATTCTCTCCTGACGTTTCGCCTGCATCTATTGCAAGCATCCTCCGAGGTAGTGAGGTCTGTTGGAACTAGGAAAATGGGTTTATATATCTGTGGAATGACCAGGGTGGAACAAAGGACTTTAAGCCGCTCTTTAAGCCGCTCTGCATAGGGCTTGTTCTCCAGACCTTTGATCATTTTAGTTGCCCTCCTCTGGCCATGGTGGTTGTCAATATAGCTTTGCAGTGGCAAGATTGACCATAGCCAAAGATTGGAAAGGGGAAAAAGGTCTAACCAAAAAGGATTGGAGGGAAAGAATGCGAGAATATATGCTAATGGCCAGACTAACTTATAACAGGAGGAATAAGAGTAATGAGGACTTTCTAGAAAAATGGAAGTTGGCCATGGCATATCTGAATAGAGAGTCAGTAATATAGAGGAGCTCCATTAGGAATTTAGGTTTACCATGAATAAGGATAGATAAATAGGCTTAAAGGCTTCATAGTGTTTCGGTGTGGGAAGCCATGGTGAAGGGTGCACGGATGTGGGGATGAGGGTTTATTTTGTTTAGGATAGGGGTTTTGGGATGAGTGTATGTGGTATGTGTGTAAAATGCCATGTGCTGTTTTCCTGAATGTTATGGAAAATATTTAATACAAAGCTCTGACTGAAAGCAGTGGAAAACAGGCAGAAATAGCAAGTCTATGTGTATTAAGATATGTAAATGATAATAATTTGTAATTAATGACAAAATTAACTGATTGATTGAATAAGGTAGATAGGCATGTACACGTCAAAAATATTGGTACCTGATTTTATCTGCCATGTTTTGCTTTTCTGTTATGTACCATAATCAAAATAAACAGTTTTAACAAAAAAAAAAAAAAAAAGAGTGGTCCACCATTTCTGTGTTGGAAAACTCACAGCAATGCAGTGATTCCGGCCATGAAAGCCTTTGACAACACATTGCGACCAACATGTTATGTAGTGATAAATGAATAAACAGGGCCATGCAGATGATACCCCTCGAAGGGCCTCTCACCTCGTCACTGTTGAGTTTCTTTGCTTTCAGTAATCGCTGTGTTTTCTCTTCATCAGATCCTTCATCGCTGTCTGAAGAATAGATCCGAGCGCGTTCCTCTAAAAGGGGAAAAACAATCACCGGTGTTATTCCTGGAAAGTTAACCTGCAAATAGAATTACGTGACAAGTGACTGAGCGTAGCTTAGAAACCGGCGATTCAGATGGAGGTTTGTAGAAAGCGAGGCCAGGCTGTGTGCTTCGAAAGGCATTTTTTTTATGCGGGAAACGTACGTATGCAAGCAACATTCAACAGTGACGGATATTTGCACACTGCCACTTGCTGCTGCAAAAACAGGAAAGTAATCATTCGGTGTGAAAAGGAGATGCACTGTGCAAACTGGGACACAAAAAACAGCTAAGAAGCTAAAGGTAAAGGTTTCCCCTTGACATTAAGTCTAGTCTTGTCCGACTCTAGTGCTCATCTCCATTTCTAAGCCAAAGAGCCGGCGTTGTCCATAGCCGCCTCTGAGGTCATGTGTCCACATGACTTCATGGAGTGCCGTTACCTTCCCACCAGAGTGGTACCTATCAATCTATTCACATTTGCCTTTTTGAACTGCTAGATTGGTAGAAGCTGGGTCAAACAACAGGAGCTCAGTTAAAGTGAGATTAGAACAGCGGGGCGGCCTCCAATGGAATATCTACAAGTAGGGGTGTGAGACAGGGATGTTTGTTGGCTCCATTCTGTTTTAATTTTTATATTAATTATATCGTGGAATATTTGAATATGAAACAATGTCACAGTCCAAAGATTATGGATAGGGAGACAAATATTTTGATATATGCAGATGACATAGTATTGTTATCTACCACCCCAGTCGGGTTAAGGAGGTCCCTGCAAAAACTTAGCAAATATTGTACTGAAAATGCCCTCACTATAAATAAAGAAAAATCCAAAATAATGTTTTTTTTGGTAAGAAAGCTAAGGCTTCCAACTGGCACCCTGACGGGCACAAAGTGGAGCAAGTGAGGACATTTAAATACTTAGGTCTTCATTTTGTGGCATCAGGGTCATGGACCCAACACCTAAAATTTGTTAATGTATGATTAGTGTAATGTGAATGTTTAAATGTAATTTTGTGTAATGCCTGTGACTGTAACCTGATTGCATTACCAGAGAGTGTATTGACACTGAAAGGGGTAATCAGTCAAGCCTCTAATGAACTGTGAAGATGTGACCCTGAGTGTGCCTGGAACACGTAGGGAGGATCCAGAGATAAGGTTTTGTTTGTCCTTCTTACTTCGGTGTGTTTTTTGTCTTGTTCCTGTCTGTTTGGATGTAAATGCGAATGTGTGCTGTAAATTTGCTCTACTCAGTAAAGCTAAATGTTTGCTTTTACTGAAGTCTCAAAGTGTCCATTCTTCTAAGCTTCAAAGCTTCTGTTGCACTCTGACAAAATTAAATATTGCAAAGGCTGATAATGCTGCACAGGCAATTCATAAATTATGCAACCACAATTATCTGGGTTCCTTGCGCCCCTTTCTGAAGTTTCTTAAGGCAAAGGTGTTCCCCATTGCTTTGTATGGAGCTGAAATATGGGGTGAGC